TGGTAAATACCATTATCAAATATATTTATGTTATATAACAAATATATTTATAACATAATTAGATGTCAAAATATAAACCCAAAACGATTTTAAAATAATTAAAACCAAAACTTTTTTTTTTAACCAAAACTATTTTAAAACCCACAAACGATCATAGTAGTACCATTGTTATGTAATTGTACAAAGAGAGATATTGAAACATATTCATACTTGTTTTTATAAAAGATGTGCAATCATAATATTCTTATATTTGATAAATTATTATAATAAAATCTTAATTATTTCTCCATACAAAGGCAAAAATGTATATACATAATCCACATTCATAACATTTTTATGTTTATGTAATAGCATAAAACGTTGTTAAATTTGAACATAACAAACCAAGTTTCAAAACCATTTCAACCTATTCACGATCAGTGGAACAGACGATATGTTCTTCTTTCCATTTTTTCTCTCTTCTTTACTTGTTTTCCTTATATATTGTTCTATTTGTTCCCTCGTCACGATTTTATAGCCTAACATCGTTGCTTGATGCTTCATTGAACATGAATACATGATATATACCTTAATATCATTTTGCGGGATAGAAGTTTTTGTTTCTCTGATTCTCTCTAATGGGTAATTTTTTTTTGTTCATCTGCAAAAGTAGAAAGCAGGGAAAGTCCTTCCGGAACACCAATTATACTAGTTACACTATATCTTCATAATTTGAGAACTCGGATACGATGACTTGATTTTCTTCTCTGAGTTCATCAAAGCACAAAATACATATCCATAATCTACCTACGATTCTACCCCTTAATCTAAACTCAATTTACAATCAAATTTTCAAATCCATTCAATCAAAATACCAATATATCCAAAACAAATTAGATACAAATCCTCAAATCCCTAATGAAATATACATCTAATTGGATCGATATGATTGATGTTGAGCTCGGCGAGATCTCAGCTATAGGAACTCACCTTAATTTTTGGATCCTCAATTTTCAATCTTCACGCTTCAATGACGATCTCAACAACACGCTCAATGGTGGAGGAATGAGAAATAGGGTTCATGCAAATTGACGAGATGAGCTTCAATTAGTAGTGGCAGTGGATAATAGGAGTGGAAGTTCGACTTAGCTTCGATTATCCCGATTTTGGAGGAGAACGATGAGGAGTAATCTGAAATCAGATTTGGTTTTGGAATTTTTGCCCCAATTTTTTTATTGGTCCACTTTTAAATTATTATTCAATTTTTTTTTTAATTTTTTTTATCCTAAAAAGGATTCATTAAGGGCAATATATGTTTTGACTATTTCATTAAACAAAAGCAATGTAGCAGTATACTGATCCTGATAGAATAAGATTAATTGAACATGTGACAAGCACATGACTTGAGAAATCAAAAGTATCGCCAATATAGAA